TAGCCAGTAAGAAGCATTATAATTAATATTGCATCCTTGTGCTTATTTTGGGGCTAATTGGCTGGAGGATCAGGCAGGACAGAAACCTCCATCTATAACACATCCCATTTCTAATAATGCATTTGGCAGCCTGAAACTCTTATCCTCATATATAGTGGGCATACCCTCCTCTTTGAACAATGACTCTAGTAAACTGTTAGCAACCTAGGACTCACAGCTGCATCGAGCTGCACGCACGTCCTACTCTGACAGCCATCAAACTTAGATAACACTCAGTTGTGCTACACTAACATCTAGTCATGGAATCTGAAGCCCAATCCTCCCCTGCCCCTCCTTCTATTCAGGAGCACCAACAGACAACAAGCCCAGCTGTTATAACCTTTTGCAAGTAGGCACAGCTGAACTCACTGAGACTGTGGCAGTTTAGCTCAGAGGATAGTCCTGCACAATAGTTCAAGGAAGAGTGCATCCTATCAGGGAAGTTAAGGCAGTGGAAGCTTCACGCAGCTGGCTGGTCCCATCATACCCGGAAGACAAGAAGCAGAAAATGATCAATCTGTGTGATCAATTCGCCTTCACCTTTTTATTTCATTTTGTTTTGTTTCCGTCAGGATCCCCCCCCCCTTGCGCTCAGAGAATTAAGATGGGTATTCGCATAGCTAATAATGTAGTCAAGATAATCCTTCGCAGGTGTGACCAGATGCCCGTCTCATAGGCAATTAGCACTAACCATCACAGAGAGCATTCCTGTCAGTCACCAGGCAGACACCACTCATCAAAGGAAGCAGGCAACTGCTCACCACATAGAGGAAGGCAGCCGCCATGGAATTCCCCCTAGGGATGCTCTACTCTCAGGAGGTTCAGCCATAGTAGCATGTCTCACCACCTATCACAGTGAGCATGCAACCACCACCACAAAGAAGCAGGCCATCCTATACCACACAGGAAAAGGTAGCCATGAGAGCTCTCCATTTACTGACAGACTGGCCTCGGTTTGCGTGTCTTGTTACTCATCACAGGGCCCAAATTATCTTTGGTTCTATCAGTCCCCAGGTCTCAGCCCAACAACTTGCAGCCAGCACCACCATACCACCATAGTCTCTCTCTCTCCCTCTCCCTCTCCCTCTCTCTTCCTCCCTCCCTCCTTCCCTCCCTCTCTCTCTCTCTCTGTTTTAATATTGATTTTTAACATTTTAAGTTATGTTTTTATGTCTGTGTGGAGGCAAATGCTCCTGAGTGCATGTGCCAGCAGAGGCCAGAGGTGAGTTATAGGAAGTTGTGAGCCACCTGATGTGGTTGCTGGGAATTGAACTTGGGACCTCTGGAAGAGCAGTGCATGCTCTTAACCACTAGTCATTTCTTCCTCCTAGTCTCTTCCATAGCAATCGTTTTTGCTCCTTCTATGAATTTGGAGAGGAGTATCCTGAATCTTACAGCTTCCTGCTTAGCTTGCAGAATCTTATGAACCTCCCTCCTCCCTCAAGGAAGGAGAGTTTCAAGTAGGTATGCAATGCTTTGTTCGAGGACACTGGACATGTCTCTGATTGATCCTGTGTGTGGCCATGCATTCACACACACAACCCCACCAGAATTCAGAGAAAAAGGAACCCACAGAGCAAAGCCACACATTAGAATGAAGCCACAGGAAACAAGAGGTACGTTCACCCGGCTCGTCTAGAAACTCGGCTGCTGCTGAATAAATTGTGAATGGCCTCAGAAAGCACAACCCCTGAAGACTCCAGGGTTTTGCTCCCCACTCCACTCGACCTGCAGGTTCCACTGCCTCTGCCATTTATAAGGGGTCAAACTTGTCTTTAAACCGCAGCACTTGGAAGGCAGGGGCAGGCTGATCTCTGTTAAGTCCAAGGAAGCCTGATCTATGTAAGGAATTCCAAACCAGCCAGGGTGACATAGTGAGATCCTGGAGACAACAAGAGAGTGAGGGATGGTGGAGGCTGGAGGGAAGGAGAGAGAGAGAGAGAGAGAGAGAGAGAGAGAGAGAGAGAGAGAGAGAGAGAGAGAGAGAGAGAGGGAACTGGGCATCATCCCTTCATCTGAATCCCTCATCTCAGAGCCTCTCCACTCCCTAATAGTCTCCAGTGCCAGCAAGGGCCACATCAGCTTGCTTTGGGAAATCAAGGTCACCCAAATGTTGGTGGCCCAGCTGTTAGGTTGAGGGGCACTTGGTATTAGACGTCCAAGCTGTATCATCTGGTACCCACCACAAGGGGGCAGAGTGGGCCTACCTGCAGGAAACTCCAGGAGAGGACTAGGACTTCTGGAGACCTTAATCTCCCTAAGAACCTCTCTTTGCAGCTCCCCACTCTGACGGCCAACTCACCCCCATCTCCACCCTCTGTTCCTCTTGGGCACATTTATTTTCTTATTGTATTCTCGAGTTGGATGATTTTTCTCCCTACATATGCAGTAATTCAGTCTTCAGATAGACCTCCATGATTCCGATCTTTAAGTAAGTGAGGATAGTAAACCACTGGATGTAAGAAATCATCATCTTCAAGCCGGGCGTTGGTGGCGCACGCCTTTAATCCCAGCACTCGGGAGGCAGAGGCAGGCGGATCTCTGTGAGTTCGAGGCCAGCCTGGTCTACAAGAGCTAGTTCCAGTGAAAGACCTCGGCATCAAAGCGCCAGGCACTGAACCGAACCCTCTGCCCAAGAACCAGGGCCAGACCACTGGCTGCAAATGCAAGAGGTGATTTATTGAGTACACAGGCGCCTGCGGATGCTACTGCAACTCGGGTGCAGAGCATACCGGGCTTGTAGGGAGTACAATATTTATAGAGTTTTAATGGTTACATAAGTATCAGCATAGCAACAGGTATTTCATTGGCTACTTAAGCATGGGCTGAGATCATCTTGGGGGCAGGGGTAGTTGTCAAGGACTAGGTTTCCTACATGAAAGACCCCGGCATGCTTCAGCAATTAGTATCCGGGTCCCATCACTGCTATAGTGATCAGACACAATTGGGGGCCAGGGTAGTTGCCAAGGACTAGGTTTTCTAGTATTGTCATATGAAAGTTCCCAGCACGCTTCAGCAATTATTATCCAGGTCCCATGACTGCTATAGTGATCACAGACATCCTGTTTTGAGGGTGAGACACCTAGTCTGGGTTTTTCCACTAGGCAACGGCCTGGTTCCCTTTTCTTTTCCTAGGGGGTCCTGGGTAGGGGTCTTTCACCAGGACAGCCTCCAAAGCCATAGAGAAACCCTGTCTCAAAAAAAAAAAGAAAGAAATCATCTTCTTGGAAAATATGATTCATAGAAACATAAAAACCATAACCCTTGCCGAGTACCATTTGCTGAGACTGAGCTAAAGACACTGCCTAGTGATTGTGGCCTCCGGAGCCATGACCACAGTGTTCCTGAGGCTATGGCCCTACACCCAAGTGCACAGGAATCTATGTCTCTCTCTCTTTTTTTTTTAGATTTATTTATTATGTATACAGTGTTCTGTCTGCATGTATCTCTGCAGGCCAGAATAAGGCACCAGATCTCATTACAGATGGTTGTGAGCCACCATGTAGTTGCTGGGAATTGAACTCAGGATCTCTGGGAGAACAGCCAATGCTCTTAACCTCTGAGTCATCTCTCCAGCCCCCAATCTATGTCTCTTTAAACAATAAAGTACATTGGGCCGGGTGTTGGTGGCGCACACCTTTAATCCCAGCACTCGGGAGGCAGAGGCAGGCGGGTCTCTGTGAGTTCGAGGCCATCCTGGTCTACAGAGCGAGTTCTAGGACAGCCTTAGAGAAACCCTGTCTCAAAAAAAAGTACATTGGGTTAGGGTCTTCTTCTTCCCTGGAGCACTGGGTTACAATGGGCACAGTCCACGGGGCCGAGTGAGTCTATAGATAGCCTCTGAGACCTACCACACGCTGCCTGAAACAGTCGAAAGTGTTCATTCACGAAGGCCACATCACTGTCGGCCCTGAGGGTGGCAGTATTCCAGTACATGTCCCCCCTTGTATGGTCACAAGAGTCCTAGGAGGGAGATTTGGAATGTTCTTACTTCCCTGTAATCGTGATCTCCTCCCCTGGAGGTTGAGCGATGATCCCCCTACTGCCCACCTGCCCCAGCTCCCCTCATGTTTCCCTCCATCTTCTCAAGCTACAGGGTTCTGTACCTGTAGCACACACATGACCTTCTTCAACCCGAGCTCCTCTCCCATGTGCCCTAGAGTACCCCCACACAGTACCCCGTCTACATCCTAGCCCTTCAAATCGACCCACATAAGGATCATCTTCCAGTCACTTGTGGGGACGCCCCCCCCCCGAGGAATTGGCTCAAGGTCCCTGCGTGACAGTGTACACATACTGGCTCTGGTACCAGCAAATAAAGCCCCATGGTGGGCAAGAGTCCTAGATTTCCCTTGACCTGGAGGCTAGGCACAGGGCTCTCGTTCCTACACCAAAAGGTGGACTGCGGTTGAAGAGGCTCCTAACCACTCTTTGACCCAGCAGGTCCGACTCAACCCTGCTTCTAAGGAAGGAGCATCCAGGCCTTCGAGGCAACCATAGCCTAGCCCATACCTGGTTTCTCTTCCGGGGAGCTATAGCCAGGTATGCTCTGTGACACCAGTGCTGAGACTTTCATTGATTAGACATGACAGGTGACCCCATAGACCTGAGCGCGTCCCAACAGAAAAGGACTCCAAAGACCAGAGATCTCAGCGACCTCCTGGCCTCTAACCCCCTTATCTTTCTGCCACAGCCCCGGGCCTAAACCTTTTTCTTATCTCTTCTCTCTCTTGATGTCTCCTGTGGAGACTCTGGGTTGGGGTGATGAAGAGATGAACCAGACAACCAGCCAAGGAGGACAGTTGGGGTCAGGTGGTGATATAATTAGCATGGCTTCCTCCCACCTGACTTGTCGTGCTTGTCCCTCCACCAAAACTCCACCTTCACCTCCAGGAAGCCCTCCCTCTGCACTTTACCACCAACCATGTCGAAATACCACGCCCCTGTTTCTTCCTCTCCTGGGGCTTTTGGGGGTGCCTCTGTCCCAGGGCTCAGTAATGTGTAGCAGCCAGAGAGTGGCTGATCTGATTCCGGTCGGCTCATCTGGGCAGCATGGCTCATGAGGCTTTGCTGGCCCTGCTACTTACACTGGCCAGAGTCCTACCTGGACCCCTGGATGCCCAAGGTAAGCATTTCTCTGCACCGCAGGCTCCCAGGGGGCTCCTCACACACACCTGCCTGGGAAGGGTTGGCACTGAGCTTGACTTCCCTGAGTCCCACTCAGTCCTTCTTTTCAGGGTCCTGGAGTAGTCTCAGCTCTGTGAGAAAGTGGGGGGCTTGAAAGATTTGTTTACATGATTAGCAATCGCCCTTGCGGCTAGCGAGGACGTTGTCCTAAAGCTCCCTTTCAGAGCAGCTGTCTGTGGGAAGGCCTGTGGTGAGGTGTAAAAGGCTCTACAGGAAGAGGAAGGGAGGCTCAGGCTTCCAGGCACAATCCTGGTGCAAAAGCCAGCACCGTGCTCAGTTCGTGAGGCTCCGATGTTTGCACTCAGCCTGGTGTGCACAGGAAAATGGGTGGTGAGGGCTCCAGACAGGGCCAACGAGGCTGGAGTCTGAAATGGGTGGAGCCAACACGTGCCCCTTCTACAGAGTCACAGGCTCTGGGTGCCTGGAAATGACCTGGGGGAAGCAGCCAGCAAATCAGAGATGGGACAATGGCTGTCTGGGGACTGACTCAGTTGAAAGAGAGAGAAAGGGTAGAGCCTGGGGGGCCGAGCATGGGGTGGGCGTGTGGGCGTGTGTGTGGGGGGGTGCTCAAAGAGGAAGAAGTCCTAGTGCTGAGACGCAACAAAGTTGCAGTCAACCCACCTGGAGGCCCACAGACTGCTCAGAACAAAAGCTTCTTCGTCACAAGGGGTGTCGGTACCTAGCACTGCTCCAAGGTCCCCAGTGCACCTTCTCTCAAGTGCCGTGTTAGCACAGGGCTGACCACAGGCCTGACCCCAAGTCCCTACACCATCCCTGTAGAGAGAAGGGTTTCAGTGAGGCATCACGCAGGGATGCAAAAAACGGGAGAGTGAAGCCTAGGGGTATGGGGCTTCTGACCAGGTCCCTGTGCATGTGAGACAACATGTGTGTGAGCAGACATTCGAGTACTTTGAGTGTGCGTGAACATATATGAATGTGGGGTATGTGGGAGTCTCTAAGATACGTGTTAATGTGTTTGAGTCCCTATGCGCCGTGTGGGAAGCGGGAAAGATCTCTCTGCCAGCCCAGCGCTAACAGCGGCTAGTCCTTCATAGAGATGCAACACCCACCTCACCAAGTCCTGTTCGCCTCTGAGGGGGACTCCATCAACATCACCTGCTCTACAAATCGATTCTTGTCGGGGATCTACCTGAGGCAGAACTGGCCTCAGGTTTCCGAAGTGACTTACTTTGAAGACGGGAAGGAGTCCACGGTAGACAAGCGTTTCTCGGGCCGAATTGACTTCTCGGGTTCCCAGAGCAACCTGACCATCACCATGCGCCTCCTCAGGCAGGAAAACACTGGAATCTATACCTGCAGTGCCGTCCCAGAAAGCAAAAGAGATGGCTTGTCCACCATGGTTGTGGTGACAGGTAGGGTTATAAGCCCATCTACTGCTGGCTAGGCCAGGAGCCCGGCTGGCTGCTGGGGGCCTTCTTCCCCTTTGCTGGAACTGTCTGCCCAGAGCCTGTTTGTTCCAGGAAACCTCCTAGTTGCTGCCCCGTCTGCTACCACCGTAGCTCCTCCCTGGCTTGAACCCTAAGTCCTCGGGAAGAGCCCTCTCCTAACAACGGTTCTTTTTGTCCATCTTCCCAGAAAAACTGTCCCAAGAAGCATGCAAAACCCAGGAACCTCGGGGGACATCAGTTTTCCTCCCAGCTGCCCTGGCTGTAGGCTTCTTCCTCCTTGGGCTAGTCCTTGGGGTGCTATGCCCACTGAGGAAAATACAGGTCAGTGTGAGCTGTTATCAATAACCTGGCCCTTCTCACAGGGTGGTGAGAGAAGGAAAGAAAAAAGTCTTAAAGCCAAAGAGCTGGTCAGGGTCACGTGACAAAAACCCTGAAGATGCAGAGAGGGCATCACGCAGGGACACAAAAACGGGGGGGGGGGGGGGGTTGAAAAGTGTGTGGCTTCTCACCAGGCCCCTGTGCACAGCAAAGCGAGATCGCATGTGTGTGGATATGCGTCTGTGTGTGCGAGGACATATGTGGATGTGGGCTGTGTGGAGTCTCTGGGTTACATCTGCGTTATGTATGCGTTAATGTGCTGACGTGTGAGGAGGCAAACGGCTTGGTCTAGAAGGGTCCTGACAGCTGTTGGTTCTTCCTGATCACTCAGCTGTTGCTGGCTCCGGGATTGGCCTGCAGTTGACCCTACCAGGTGCAGCCCCCCAAGTCTGGGGAAACTGTTTGTTGAAGAAAGGGGCTGCTTGGAGACAGGCACACTTTGCCTGGGCCACCCACCATGCTGGCTGCTGCCACTTGTCTTTTCAGATCAAGGGACTGTGTGCCTCGAGGGATAAGGACTCGCGGTGCGTGGTGTATGAGGACATGTCCTGCAGCAAGCGCAAGACTCCATGCACCCCCAACCAGTACCACGAGGCCCTCTACCCACACACAGCCCCCCATGCCTTGTTTCAGCAGGGATCATAGTGGTCCTGCTGACCCGCCCAGCCAACTTCCCCCCAGGACACTTCTTGTGCCATTCAAGAGGCCCCTTGGTGCTTCTGGGTGAATGGGACTCCTCCTCTGTAAAAGTTTCCTAACGGGGCTCTGCAATTTGTCCCCCACCCTAGCCAGGTAGCCCTGATCATGTTGCCATCAGGGAAAAAAAAAGCTTGGGGGGGAGGAGGGGGAATGTGTTACCTGCCTTGGAGAAGCTTGGCCAGAAGAAATAAACAAACAAATAAAGCCCTTGTGGGGTTCTTTTTTTATTGTTGCTATTGTTGTTTTTTGTTTTCTGTCTTGTTTTGTTTTTTTTTTTTAAACTTTTCTGATCCTGACTTTTGTTTTTCCAGCCAGCTCCTGGCTGAAGAGGGCAGGGGGACTCAGATTGTCGGTCCTGCAGGGTTTTGTGGCCAGTATCTGTGAGAGCAGAAAGGGGCAAAAGTGGGGGGAGGGGGAACTCTCCCGTCCCAGCCCCCAGGAGGCTCAGCACTCCAGACACCCCACAAGGAGTAGAAAGCCAGTGGCAACAGCCTCACCCATTCTAGAAGGCCATGTTCCTAAGGGCCCAACCCTACCAGGTCCCTGATGGTGCAGCCTTAAGTCCCTCATTGAGAACAGAATGAATGGTAACTTTCCCAGACTCCCCCTTTGTCTCAGAGGCCCCTACTGGGGACTGACACATGAGGTCACCACAGTGCTACCCCCAACACCTAGGGTCAGCCCAGATCCCTGTGGTGCACTTGGGGATAGGAACCCCCAAAAAAAGAAAGAAAGAAGGAAGGAAGGAAGGAAGGAAGGAAGGAAGGAAGGAAGAAAGAAAGAAAGAAGAAAGAAAGAAAGCCAAAATCAGCAGCCTTCTGGAGGAGCAGTTCCAGCTGAGTAAGCTTCTTGCCTCTATTACCCCAAGACCAGGCCAATGTGGCAGAGCAGATGGCTGTGTGCTAGAAGGCAAGGAGCTGGAGCTCTACCTGAGGAAGATCAAAGCCCGGAAAGGCAAATAAACCATCACTCATAGCTCATGTAATAAAGGTGTTTATTGTCCTATTAAAAAAAAAACAGGAGCCCAAAACAGGTGCTCAGCTGATCCATGGTGAGCTGCCCAGTCCCTCATCTGCCTCACGCCGCTGACTCCTGGGATAGCTGGAAGCCTCAAAAAGGACAAGAACAAAGTCAATCCGTTTGTGCTGGCCCCACACCTGCTCCACACTCTCACCCGCCACCCCTTGTCCCCTGCTAGTGACTGATAACAGCAGTACAGTGGGGGGGGGGTGTACATAAGAGCCCTGCTCTGTGCACCTGGAAAATGGGGAGTCAGAGAATCCAGCCGTGACCGGTTACCCTTGGACCCACACCACGGCCCCATCCACCTCCCCACAGAGCCTCCTGTCCTGCCAGCTTCACCCTACCCAAGCTGACCTCTGCTCCCCGAGCTACCACCACGGCTCTCATAGAGAGTGTGCACCGTGACACTGACGCGTGGTCGCTCAGGTGGCGGTGACAGCAGAGCCTGAAAGAGCACCCAGGAGTCACCAGAGCCTGAAGCAGCCGTGTAAGTCACTGGGGTTGTCAGTCCCCAGCACACTGTGTAGACAGATCCCTGGTCAAGGGTCCCAGGGGTCTAGATCTTATAAGGTTAAAAACCCCCGGGGCAGCTGTTAATAAGCCCCAGCAAGCCTTGCCTGTTTATAGGTACTTCTCACTTGCTGCCCCAAGTCCCATCTGGCTGGGCCACTGTCCTGGGTCTAGGTGACCTCCTAGACAGCATCACCAGCCACACTAGCCTTACTTAGGAAATGTGGTGTGTTTATTCAACCTTGAACGAGGTCTTTAAGACATCAGACCTCCCTCTAAACCTAAACGCAGGCCCTCTGTTCTCCATCCAGACCTGGCTGGATTGACCCAGCCCTAACATCTCAAAAGAATCAAATCACTCCTGTTGGTTGGCCCTCCCTCTAGGCCTTCATGGGCAGGGCTTTTCTCAGCTGGGGGTCATCCATGAAGAGTCCTCCGTCAGTATGAAGAGAACCAGGCTAAGACAGCTGCAAATCCAGAGGCCAACTGTGAGTCCTGACCACCGGTGTAAGCCGCAGAGGCAAAGCTAGTGCCGTCAGCTGCATGCTTTACAAAACATCTCAAACAAAAATATGTGACAGGGACCTACAAACTGCAGGGAAATGTTCACTAAACAAGCTACAAGTCAGGAGCCAATATATCTGTTTAACTTATAAGATGACGTCTATGAATAGGAAGACAACATTTGAGTAAAAGAATACACCAATGTTGAGTGGGCGGCCAGCAATGTCCAACTGTCCCATTCCTTTTATAGTAGCTCTGTGGTGTCTGCTGTCCCCTAGTGCTCTATCTGTATCAGCCTTACTCTTCAGCATCTGGAGACCCCCAACCCTCTGCTGACCTGGGAGATACTGTAATGTCTATGTCTAGAAGACCTTGACCCCCAGCTAGCAACTGTGGGCCTGGGTGACTCTACCTGAGCCCTCTACACTTAGCACCACCAGCTAGCAGTGACCTGGAAAGGCACAGGACACAGGACATGGGGTTCTGGGAAACAGGCTGTCACAGCTGACATTCCGAGGTTCCCAAGTCTGGTCAACGTGCATCCATCACCGTCAAGATGTAATATATACACAAAAGCTCTCGCGCGCGTTGCAAAGCGGCCTTGTTGGCAGTCGTGCCCTGTGCAGTAACGCAAGTCTTGTTCCGGCACAGCCTCCCACACAGAGAGAGGGCAGAGCCCATGAGGTTAATTCCTGTGCCCTCCACCTCCCTGAAAGAAGTTGAGACATCTAAGGCTTGGGACTCAGCCAAGGGCAGGTCCAGGTGTACGGCAGGTGCCACCAGGGGCTTGCTGACCCAGCAAAGAAGCCTTATTGCTGGCCCTTGGGTGTCATTCACCACCTGTGGACTAGGTAGGTAGGGTCTACTGCTCTTCAAGTGCTGGTTTGGTTGCCAGGCTCAGCTGGCATCAGCCAAGCTGTTCGAGATCCCCAGCTCCCATCAGAGGAGTCGCTCTACCCTGGTTTCCCCTCTCATTTCGGAAGCAGCTTCCTGAAACGATAAGCACACAGCCCACAAGCCCGTCTCAGAGCCCTTGTGATCTGAAACGTTGCTTGCCAGACCCCACCCAGCAACAACAGGCCATGTGTCCACAGAACTGAATCCCTGGGCTCCCCTCCCTCCTCCTATCCTTGCTTGCCCAGGGCCGTGATGTCATTGGTCTTCTTTCTGACCCCTCCATATTCAGGACCCCATGGTCCTTCCCATGACCCCTCTATCAAGGCTGAGCTCCCCACAGTCCTCCTCTTTTGCCTACATTCAGGCCATGGATGGTGTGGTGCATGAGAACAAGTCCTTCTACTGTGTCTCCGTCCCAAACCAGGTTCATAGCGAGTACTACTACGTGCTGTGCCTGTTGGGTAATATTCTGGTTTATTCCTCTAGTGACAGCCTGTGCTTGGTCTGAGCCCTGGACCCCACCATGTTAGATTCTGTGCCTCCCAACTCTCTGCAGGAAGCGGAGACATTCATGGCTTGGGACTGAACCAAAGGGCAGAGCCAAGTGTATAGCAGTGCCACCAGGGGCTTGCTGACTTCTGGTTCCAGATCTTGACTACTCAACAAATAAGCCTTATGTTTGGCCCTTGGGACTTCATGGAGTCATCTCTCAAGGCTGTGGGTCCTTCATCTGTAAAATGGGGCAATGCGGTAGTTAGATGCCATAAAGATTAACCAAGATGCTGTAGGCAACAAGGTCATGGAACAATACTCCCTCAGCCACCCAGGCTTGGACAGTCAGGGGAGTTAGAGTATATGGGAAAAAAAAACTTAGGGGAAGCCTGACCCACAGGGGAAGACTCCTCCCCCCAACAGCCCTCCTCCTTGAGAGTTTCTTGAGATCAGCCTCATGAAACTTAGGTCCAGCTGCGCTGCAGCCTAAGGCATCCCAGCACAAAGGGAGCCACAGAATCACTCCCACCTCACCCCTTCCTCTCCCTATCCTCCCTTCCTCCAAGCCTGAGGGTACCAATAAATCTTTTTTGTTAATGTTATGCCCTGACACAAGAACCTCACCGAGGGGTTAGCAGCCAATGGGGAGTATGGGAAAGGAAAGGTAAGAAGATAGCAGAGAGAGCTCCTGTGGGGCAAGATACCCTGAGGGAGGGCACCTGGGGTACCAGGTGAGAGGGAAGGGTGAGCATTGCCTGAATTTGGCCACGGAGAACAGCAGAACAGTGAGGAGATTCCAGACCCAGACGGTGCCAAGCTCTTCATACTTGAGGACGAAAGAGCAATTAAATACTGGGGGTCAAGAACTTGATTCCTGGACTATCACATTCAACGAAATTATACAACGTAAGGGCAAAAGACACGCTCAGGCACCCTCTTCTGACCTCTGTGGGCACCAGGCACTCACATGGTCCGCATACATATATGCAGGCAAAACTCTCATACATGGGGCTGGAGAGATGGCTCAGAGTTTTAGAGCACTGTCTGCCCTTCCAGAGGTCCTGAGTTCAATTCCCAGCAACCACCTGGTGCCCTCTTTTGGTGTGCAGGTAAAAGGCTGTAGACATAAGCCGGGCGTTGGTGGCGCACGCCTTTAATCCCAGCACTTGGGAGGCAGAGGCAGGAGGATCTCTGAGTTCTAAGCCAGCCTGGTCTACACAGAGAGTTCCAGGACAGGCTCCAAAGCTACAGAGAAACCTTGTCTCAAAAAAAAAAAAAAAAAGTGGGAGGGTAAATACAGGAGGTTGGACCAGGGAGATGGTAGAAATCATGGGAGAGTCAACCAAAACTAAAATGCATGAAAAAAAAAACTAATAATACAACCACTATGAAAACATGATCTGAAATTGTAAAATTTGTGCAGCTGAAGATGTTGTAACCACAGAGAGAAATAGGTACCTCTAGAGTTTAAGCAGAGATTTCACAGGGAAGAGTGAGGAGGAGAAGGACCAGACTGCCTTCAGTATACAACCAAGGATGACCTGGAACTCCTGGTCTCCTACTTCAGCATCCCAAGTACTAGGATTACAAGGGTATGCCACCATGCTTGGATCTGGGGGGATATTTTTGAGCTCCCCTGAAGATCCAGTTCACAGAACCAGTCAGCAATGGATTTCACATTCATTCAGAGTATGTGAAACTGTATTTTAATTATAGCTTGTGTCATCAGGCCCTGCTCGGTAAGAAACAGGATGAGGTCTAGGAGCCCAGTGTCCTTCGTGCAGCTTGTGAACTTGCAGAAAATGT